ATTCTAAAACTCCTGAATTATATATAACACATCCTATATATATACACCATAAAGATGTGTCTCAGTATTCCAGTGAATTAGGAGTAATGAGATTATAAGCATGTAAACATGAAGAGGCACAGTGTACAAAAACCCAACACAAAAATCGAGAAGGGGAAAGTAATTGAGGAAACAAATCATGCTGAAAGCTGCTGCAATCTGTCACGACTCAAGCATAGCATGGTCTTCTTCAGCTCTCTCCTCCCCATTTCACATCACCACGCAGCAGAGAAAATGCAGAAGCACACTTACCATTTTACTTGCCTCTGAAAATTACAAATGGAAGCTTAGAGTTAGAAGTTTGTGTGTGTTTGAAAAGCCCTACACACAGTAATGCAATCACACAACCCTTCTGCACGCAAACTGACCAGGGGTTGGGTAATTTACTTTTATAACTTTCCAACCAGCATACAACTAACCTCATATTACAGAAATATATACAGAACATAACCTATAACACACATCGGCATTTAACATAGCTAAGCTAAAAGTATGAGTTCATATATTCCAAACAATTCCTTTATATTCTTAACAATAAATAAGATAATCATACCCAGGACAGTACATCCATGACAATCACCTACAAGAAGAAGAAGAAGGTAATAATTATAATTATTGTTATAATTATAACTGATAAATGCTATCTTATTAAATGAAGTTTACAATTTGTATCACGAATGACACCAACATGACAGCAGTATCGTAACTGCTATTGTACTGTGCCGCGTAAAGGCACAAAACAATAACCTGAAACTTTTCAACAGTGCTAAGCAATAAATACATATAACATAACTAAATACATCCAATAACACAAAATCACTAAAGTAGCAAATACTCTGATGAATGGTGTTTGTACTGTATGCCCTGTATCTTTATCGGGACAAAGACAGTTACCACTGAAAGGTGGATTACAAATATGTGTCAACCCTACATGAGGCTCATACTCACCACAGATTCAGAAAAATGCATGGTCACACTGAAGATTATACAGTCATCAGGGTTGTAAGCTCGTCCAAACTGCTCCTGCAGATGGAATTCCCATTCATTCTCATTCATCACCTAAATGTTGAGGACAAATCAGTAAAACATTAAAAATTAATAAATGACTGTAAATAATAAAAACAGCAACAGAGCAATAAATATGGAAAATTGTTAGATTTTTCTTGTCAGTGTGTGGAAATTCAATCATTTCTACAGGATATTATTCTATTGAGCTGAGATGAATAAAGTGGAAGAAGCGTGCACAGTCCAAAAAGAACTGTTCCAATGTGGAATGCACTGAATTTGTCTCCATCACCGCATGACCCTTTTCAGATATAACCATTCAATTATAAGATAGCAATATTACTAAATGCACTATTCTCTGTCAGAAATTACTGTGACAATCTGCAGATCTAAGAAATTAATGACAGAGAATAAACCAAAGGTTAAAAGCACAAACTTTAGATGATAAGTTAATCTCAGACTGCCCACAAATTACTCACAGCAATCTCTGCAATTGGCCATCTGTCTTGCTCCTCTGCAACATCCTGAGTATCCATACTCTCATCAAAGATGTCTGCCACTGACATATCCTGTACCAATGTCTTTCTCTTTGACAGCACCAGAGGTGTAAGCTTTATATGAACCTAAAAAATATAAAGACATGGCTAAAACTATAGTAAGATATTTATGAAAAATAAAGGATTTAAGGAGTCTGTCTCAAAATCACCCCCAACTTAAAAACTAACAAACTGCATTATGACTCTCAAATTGCCAGTTAAGATGTATAGTTTCTTTTGAGAATGGACTCTGATATGTAAAATATCATGAAAAGATAGACCGAATTAATTAATGAAAGGAACACAGAGGACATGCAAGTGACAAATTCTTGGAAGAAATAGTAATTTTAAATGAAAACAATCATTATTGATTACGTAAGAAACATAACCCAATTTGAGAGGTACATAAGATTAATATGAATTAAAACTGAGGGCAGGGCATAATGCTATAAGGGTGTATCAAAATTTTGTATAACTGAAGACATTTGTTCTAACAACATAAAATAGTAGGCTGAATGTCAAGCCAGGAGAGCTTAATGCAGACACTATTCTACACAGGGACACAAATAGTTACATTTTGGTGTATGAACACTAATAATGCACATTTGTCAAACTAAACAGACATAAGAATTCACTCTCCTGTTAATCACCCATATTGTTGATGTGCCAATCAAGCACAATACCCTCAAATTGTGTATACTTAACCTTTCTTCCTTCATATTTGCGCTTCCATAACTGTATAGGATTCTCAAACAGCTTGAACTGAACCACTGTTTCTGTAGTAAGCCAGCCTCGATCTATCATCTTGCCACTGTCGTACAGACCAAAAATGTCTGGTTCCACATCTTGATGAATATTTGAATCAACTGAAACACCAGGGATGTTCTCCTGTAATATATTTACATACAATACAAACAAAAGTGTAAGGTAAGAGCAGACACATACCTTCCTTATGTATAAGGCGAGGATTTAAGTTGGTTTCCCAACGTCGGACAATCACCTGTCTTGAAGATAATTTCTCTCCATCTGGTTCAAACGCTATGCCCACAAAGTAACGGAACTTGACCTCACAATCTCTTGGAATACTGATAACCACTGACCATACGCCTTCCCTGCACCACAACATTTCAGTGTACATTTAGATAGCTGTTTCACAGTAATATCCAAAATTAGGGACCTGATAATCATACACTAAGAATGTATAATATATGCAGATATGTTAGAGATAAATGTAACAAAAATACTGTGACAAATATTATAATATGTAATGCCAAATATGTGTATTTCTCATGTATATTCACTCCTACCAAATTTAAGATGAGATTTTAAAGAAGGAGCCTACACCATGATACAAGAACTATGCCAAACATCTTTCCAGATTTATTATAGGATCAGAACTTCATCAAAGAGTGACCTTACCATTCACTGTTTGGTGCAATTTCATTGGTAAGCTGCACAGCACTAACATTGCTCCAGTTCCCTAGGTCAGGGCAACTTCCCACCACAAACACTGACTCCTGCAGATGAGTATCCACTCTTACACAAAATTTCCAATCTCTTTTATCCTCCCTCATTCTGTGGATGGTGTGCCTAGCTAGCCTGGGAAGATGGTCCCAGTGCGCCCAGATGCGGGTAAAGGATTCTACAGCTGTCTGATCAGCTTACTCTTAACAGAAACATTTTGACACAAAATTAGTCATGTCCTCAAGTTTGCACGGAGATAAGAAAACACTACTGGAGAATATACAAACATTTATAATTGTTATAAATAATTTGAAAATTGAGGTTATCTTACAACTGCTGGGAAAATAATCTCCAAAAAATAATATGAAAATTCACTCCTCTGATACAAGATAAAATAACACATAGACAAATGAGATACAGGATGAATCATTAACCTCTTCACTGTTAAGATTTTTTTTAAGTTCTGCAATGCAAAGCAAGATGAATGGATGGACAGTTCCATGAAGTGTGGTGTGTTGCAGCATCAATTTTTCTTAGCTGTTAGTCAATATACTGATGCTGTTTGCGCTGACCACAACACAGGGCAGACATGGTCTTATACATAGTAATTTTAGAAGTAAGAACATTGTATTTAAATGTATGAATATAAAACATTTATACATGAGTCTAAATGCACCCAATATGGTGATTACTGGCTAAAGCACAACAATGACATAATTTTTTTTACTAATAGTAAAGGGGTTTAATAAATCAGATGAGTGTTACTATTATCAAAAAGGTATAACATATTTTGAAAAGTACTAGGCCAATCGACCATATCTATCCAAGCCAAGACAAACAAAGCTTTAATAAGAACTGAGAGATCAGAAACTGTCCTGGAACATAGTATGGTGTTGAAACGCAAACTGTATTCTACAATAAGACCCATTATTTGAGAGGATACTGGTGCCCAAGCAGTACAGAACATGAAGTCAATACTAAAATGTATTCTATATTACCAGCAATATATAACATTTCAAATATTTCTTCAAGTTCTGCATCTAGTACTATGTCTCGTATAGACTTTTTTCATATACGAAACTTGCAGCACCAACGTTACCGAACTTGTAGTTTTACAACGGAAATAAAAAATGACACCTTATTAAAAAGTAATTACTTATTTTAAATGAAATAATTTTATTAAATAACTCTTATAATATGCAACTGTGAATTCTGAGAAACACAGTTCGTCACGTTCTTGAGATCCGTATGTGGTATTTAGAACGAACAAGCAGACAGTACATATGTTCTTGTAATGCTACCTACAATGTTCTGGGGCATGCAATATCACGACTTTCTATATTTTAGAAACAAATACTGATATAATTTTTTATTTCAGAATTACATCACACGTTTTATTCTCTACGACACGCAGGATCAGGACTTTACGTACAGGTTCTGCCAGCGTTAAAACTGTCGGACATAACCTCAAAGTACAACTTCTTTTACATAAAAAGTATAGGTCACATTAAAAATACACACTGTCCATCTATAACATAATAAATCCTAGCAAAATCACAGAAAACCTACTTCTTTTACACTGTATCAAGATGTAATTACTGTTACTTGTTTGCGTGCGTTCCTATCACAGATTGCAAGTATGCAATGCAACTTTCAAGCCGGTTTAGCGGATATAGCACATGAAAGGGAATTACTTCTGAGCATAAATGTATTTCCAGGTGCACTTGGCACTTATTTTCTCATACTATAGCAGGGCGCTCCTTTCGGAGCTCCTAGGGAGGGTTGGTCAAGTTTGTAAAACGCCACCAACCTTGTGTAAGAAACTAAACTAACCGCCACGAATTGA